GTTATTTCTTATTAGATTATGAATATTACTTTACATGTAAATGTTTTAAAATTGTTAAGGTTTGTGTGTGATATATAGATAGATATTTTTCATAGATTTTTAATTAATATTGACATATAAATATCAAACTCGATCTGAAAAGAAAATAGAAGTGAAAATTTCATCGTTTAATTTTAAAATTTTATTGTGATCTTTTGATTCTTTATGATTTTCATTATAACTGCTATAATTTTCTACTTAATTTTTTGAAGCTCTAATTTTTTTAATCTGTTAAAATGCAATGCATGTTTTAAATTGACTGATAGAAAATAATTTTCTTTCTATCGGGAGTTGGATCAAGAGAAAAATGTTAACTTTTCACAATATGATGAATTAAAATTTAAATTCTTATTAGAAGATGGACCTACGTTTAATGTCCGACTATATCAAGAATATAATTATTTTTAATAAGATGATACCTATATGAGCAATAAAAAACCATGATAATTGATACTGATGTAATGATGTGGCTTTTGACCATGCATGTTGTCATTTTTTGCTAATTTATTTAAAAGTGTTGTAATTTTTTACCCGTTCGTGTTAAGAATTGGAAAGTTCATTGCTAATTAAAGTTAAAAATTAATATATGAAATTTAACAAATTTAAAGAAATAAAATAATTTGTGTATAAATTAAAGAAATAAATATACATATGTTCCTATAGGTGAAATGTATCATAAATCAGGCTAATAACATGCTAAACATTGATTAGAGAAAATATTAAGAGTAATTAAGGTTATTGTAGTTAACTATATTTTTTTAAAATATAAAATTATACTTTTTCGCTACACACATGTGTCCTTGCATAAGAGGCAATCTTTATTAAAAGAAAAAATTCATGCACTAAACATGAGTACATTTAAACTGGTCATTTCTCAAGGAACTAAAATTCTAATTCATGCTTGTGAGTTCAAAGAAGTCAGCTTCTACCCTTGTAGAGTCTTAGGTCACTCAAAAGTAGGGCAGCATATGGATAGGGTCAAGGGTTGGGCTTCACAATTATATAGTGTTTGATTAATGTGCAGTTTGGGACAACTCAATGCTTGAATGTGCTAGTCAAGTTTAATCTGATTCACCTAAATTTTTTTATAAATATTTTCTAGAAGACATAAAAAAACATCTTCTTTCAAGAAAAATGATTATCACCATTTAAAACATGTCAGTTATAAATACTAATCATAGGATTAAAATTAATTATAGATGATCAACATTTGTCAATTATTTTTGCATAATATTATGTTAAAAGAATTTTAAATTTGAAAGACATCAGAAAAAAATTATAATGATAAGAAGTGTTTAAAACATCATAAAAATAATACAATTCATATTAACTCTCAACAAATAATGATATCACAAAATAAATATTATTCACAAAATTTAGAAAAACAAAAAAAGTGAGATGTTTAAGTTGGGTAGGGATTGATCCTGAGCCAAGTATATCCAAATGGCTCTGCCAGGCTCAGATTGATTGGGCAGTCACATGACCAAGACAGTAGCTACTCAAAAGTTGAATTTGACCAAATCATGGAGACAAGGTTTGGACCCATTCTTTGGGATTTTTGGACCACCCAAAGCTTCGTGTTCCGACCCAATCTATCTTGACCAAATTCTCGAGACGCCACTTGCAAGCGAAGATTAATCATGGGAGAATTAATATGCTTTTTAAATTCTTGAGGATATACGGGTCTTAGGAATTAGAATAAAATATGGTGATTTCTTTTTTATTTTTTTAAATTATAAAGGCCTTTCTTTTATTTTAAAAACCTATACTTTAGTGTAATTGTTATTTAATTTTTTATTTGTAATTATATTTAAAATTTTAAAATTATTATTTTTCTCTTATAATTTAAATGCCTGCTCTCTCTTCCAATTCTAAAAATTTTAAACAATTACGCTGATATTTAAATAAATAATTTAAAACTTCTTTAAAATTAATAAAATTTTAAAAAATAAATATAAATTATATTGATTAATTTGTTATATTAAACCATTATTTCGTTAAGTTTTTTAACTGCGTGTCTGGGATATTATTTTGGCCAATTTTTGTATTAAAATTTTAGAAAGTTCTACTAAATAAACAGGTTTATACAACTAAAACATTTAAAATATAAGTAAAAAAAAAGTATGCATTATTATTTTTTTTACAATTTGAATGATATGACATTTAGATTTAAAAAGGGAATATTTTAGTCTAACAGATATAACTTAGGACCCATTTAAATTTCAGTTGAGTATAATTGATTATAAAAATAACGGATGAAATGGTTGATTTCAATTATAATTGATTATGTTATAACGTAATCTATTTGAATACTATTTTTTTAAAATTAATTTTAACAAAATTAAAGATATTTGAGTAATTTATTCAAAATCAATTTTAACTGTTTAAACTACTATAAAGGACATTTTTTTTTAAATTAATTTATTAATAAATTTGTATCTAATATTATTAAATTATTAAATTTTATTTAAAAAGTAAAATATATTATTTAAATTATATATCTGATTAATTATAAAAATTTAAATTATATTAATATTAACAATTTTAATTTACGTAAATGAATAATTCAATATATCATAATTCAAATGAATTTAATAAAATAAAATTATTTAATTATTAATAGTAAACATTAATTTTATAATAACTAATAAAGATGATAATATATAAGTTGCTCTTTAATGACATTATGAATATGAGTCATATTTAATAAAGATGTTAAGCACTGCCTAAAAATTTTGTCAACATAAAAAATTATAACAATGTAACAAATGATGCAAAATCTCTCTCTTTGGACCTCTGTAATAATTTTTATAATGACCTTTAATTTTAAATTAAATTAAATTAATTTTTATTTACTGATTAATATTTTAATTAAATTATCTTTATAGCAAGTGCTAAGTAGAAGGTAGTGGTTGATAAAAACTTATGCTAATAACTTTTTAAGGATCCAAAATTTAAATTTTACTAGAAAAAAAAAATAAAGATAAGAGAGTGATTTTTATACCTTTTTTGGGCCTTTCTTATAATTTTTCCATATTCCTTGGATAATTTGAACTCAAAAGCTGACTCTAGAAGCTTTGAGAAAAAAAAAATAAATTTTGGGGTGAATGGGTGTTTGAATAATTTTGCAAAAATCAATTTTTTCTCTCAAATAATGAAGTAAAAGAGCTATCCAAACACGCACTTAATAGTCAACTAATAATTAATTTGATAAAAATAAATTTTTAAAAATAGAGGGGATACTTGTATTTCATATTTATTTATATTAGGAGAGATTTTTATATGTTTCAAAAATAGAAAAGAGATATATTAATTAAGATAAAATAGAAGATAAGTTGGAGTATTTTACTCTAGAAATTATTAATAGTGCATTTCCCCCCAAGTTTCATACAAATTTTCTATTCTTTTAATTTTTTCTTTTAATATTTTATTATGATATTAATATATAATTAAATTTTGAAAAATTAATCATTTAGTTTTATAGTTTTAATTTGGTTGCAAGATAATTCCTATAATTCTAACTATTTAAAATATTAGTTCCTATATTTTAAAAAATAACCTAATTTAAACCAAAATTCTTAATTTCATAATTTGCATGAAGTTGACTTAACAAAGTTGTATAATAAGGATTGAAGAAAAATAGAATGCACCCTATTCGAATTAATTTACCCTTAATGAAATTGAATGTCTTCCACTTACTAAATATCCAAGAATCTTTGATGAATTAATTCAAAAAAAAAAATCATAGTTAGGGTGTTTAATTTTTTTATTAACCCCATCAAGTTCCATGTATCGATTGTTCCTGACATACCCTTTTTATTGGTTTAAAATTGCCTAATGCCATGGCAGGAAAAAAGAAAATTTACTTAATATATTTTTCCATCTTAAGAATTATGAACATGTATGAGACAAACAATAAATACAAAATTTAAAAGGAAGTCAAAAGATAAGAGGAGAACATTTGACCAAATAATAGAAACATAATTTCCTTTCCCTCCCTTTGTCTGTTGCTTGAAATGGTTGAGTACATTCTACTTGGCATTTTCTCTAAAGTGAGAATCAATTCTCCCTACCAAAAATTTTGAAGGCTAACAATAGGAACATTTTGAAGGTTTTATCCTTTCAAAGTGGGACCATGAGATTAATTAATTTTGCACTGGGAAAAGAATGCATTGAATGAAATAAAACCATTACTAATGATGGCCTAACTAGGATTTCTGCTAAAAAAAACATCTACATTTAATGTTTAATCATATCTTAAATAAAATTTTTTTAATAGAAAAATATCTGTATATGGTAAAAAACATACAGGCATCGAGCTAAAGGAATCCACCAGGGAAACTAGACTCCTGGAAATTGGCACATATGCAGACCAGAAAACAGTTGGTCCTCTTTAACCATCTTAAGATCTCATGAAAAGCACAAGTTTGAAACTCTTTTTCCCTTTTCCCTTTTTTGTTTTATTTTTGTGTGGTAATGCCACAGTTTCGGCCTCACTTGCTTAGCACACATTGTAATTTAACTTCCTTCTGAATCCAGACCAAACAAGCTAAAAAAAAAAAAAGAGATACTTGATTAGGTTAGACCCTCTCATAAATTTTAATCTAAAATACTAATTTAAAATACTTGATTCGATTATTCATGTTGTACAGAGTTCAACTCTTCTCAAATAAAAACTCAAATCTCCTAAATTTTTTTTTAAAAAAAAGAGGATGTTGAGAGAATTTTCCCTTCATAACAAATCCTATTCAATTTTTGATGTGATTTTTAGAGATTGGGAGGTTTGAACTTTTTTTTTTAGGGCCAAAAAAGAAGTTGGCGCAGGGCTCTCTCCCTCCCCCTCTCTATTATGATTTTTGTTCCATTTCATGACGTGATTGGCACGTGACAACAAGAATGTAAAGCAGGTTAATGTATTTGAAAGGGCCAAAGAATCGAGTGAAAAAGACTTACACAAGATATGCAAAAACTCATCTTTTAGAGGTGCGCTAACAACTTTAAATGATGGGATTTACTTTACTTTAGGAACTCATGCCTCTATTCTCTTTACAATAACAAACAATACAAATTAAAAAAAGAAGGAAAAACAAAGATATTCCAAAACAAATTCATAGTGAACAAACAAGCCAAAGCCAGCTGGCTGTAGTGTTTCTTTTGTGACAAAGAGACTTGTACTTGATGTTAGCTTCATCTAGTCCTCCAAAGCATGCATGCATGGCTGCTGCTTCAATGTATTCCTCTTCGAGTTATCTCTTTGTGGCTTTTCAACTTTAAAGCTACGTTTCTCATGTGCTTTACATGCAAACTCTCCTTGGAATTTGTAGTCATACTATATCCTCCTTCTCCTTCTCTCTCTCACAACAAGACAAGTTTGAAAATTTGATTGAAAAAATAAAAATTCTCTAAATTGCAGTTCCTGCAGAAACTGAGATCTGAGTTTGATTCTTTTGAGCTTATTTTCCTGTGGGACAAGTTTCCTTTTTTTTTTTTTTGGGTTCCTTTCCTTGTGAGAAATTCACCCTTGCATGCAATCTGGAATCCTAAGAAGCTCAGAGATAGTACACAAACATAAAAGTCCCATTCTCACAAGAACAAGGTTAACATCATTTGTCATCATCTCCTTGTCGGATTCCCCGTTCACTAAGCCCGACCCGGAGGTCGACCAGAGTTTCCAGCTCTCCTGAACATAATCATCAAGTAATATTTCAGGTAAAATTCTAAGCTGTCCTAAAGCTGAGTAAAATTGGACTCCATCTAAAGCAACCATACACTTGTGAAACAGTTTCACAGAAAGTGTCTTGCTGCCTATCATGTGTCTTCTGATCGATTTGGATTTAGTAAGTGGCAGTAAGAGTTCATGTATTCTCAACCATCTGATTACAATTTATAGAATAAAGCAGCATTTTTTGGTTGCTGCAATCTGGAGCGTCCATTTGATTATTAACAGACGGTTAGAGTGAACTGTTACTGCCTCATGTTAAATCCAAGTCCTCTTGTCATCAAATTAATAAAAGGAAGATCAAAAGAGAAACAAGCAGGAAAGAACTTAAAGTTTCATTAAATGATGAGAGAACAGAATGAAATAGGACAAATAGCTTGAAGACTTGATGATTCACTAAGAAAGTAGTCAACCATACTTTACTTTCTTTATTATGCCTCCAAGACACCTCAAGACAAGAATTCAATGTAACAGTTGTAGCATGGAAATCTTCATAGTTGAAGCTGATATAGATGTACTCTAATTTCTAGAAGAAGCATGGTATATTTAAGAGAAAAGTTGATCGCAGATACTAGAAGGATTGATATAGAGAGTAAGAGACCTGAGAAACAGTAAGGCTATTCTGTTTAAAAACAGAGTATTATATGTGTAAACATTAGCTGTTATAAGCAGAGTAGATTTCAAAGCAGAACGCATGACAGAAACATGTGAGCATAATACTTAAAAACACACGAGATAGGTAGCCAAACCTGTTATGGATGGGATCAGGGCCATTGGGAACTCTTCTTTTGCTCATGTAGTTAAAATCCAACTCTTGTTGGTTCACATGTTTATGATCACTGTCAGTACGACCCAAGACAAACTCATGCTTGAGTCTTTCTTCTGAAGATAGAGTGGTTGCAGGAACAGAAGTCAAGCTTCCAACGACCAGAAGACAGACAAGCCCCACTATTGCAAGTGCTCGACCACAGAAGAACGACGTAGGAAGCCAAGAACAACTTCCACTACCCCTAACCATATTTCAAATATTCTTCTGTGCGTATTTTATGTCATAGTAGCTAGAAAGGATCTATATATGTAAATAAGCCTTACGGTGCTATGACAGATAGATGAAGGAGGAAAACAGAGAAGCCTATGATTGCTTGATGATTGGGATGAAAATGGGGGCTGTATAAGAAGACAAACAAGAAAAGAGAGAACAGAGAGAAGGCTAAGGCAAGAAATTGCTTTATTATTTTTTTACTTCAGAGAATTATGGGGTGTGGGTGGTTTTCTTTATAGGTTGGAGAGGGATCCTATTTCACTTTCTCGAACTCAGAGGGAGAGAGAGGGAGAGAGGGAGTGCTTAGCTGGTTTCGAACAAGAGAAGGAGGGAACACTTTGCTTTATACTGAGGAGGGAGGTCCCAATACGACACTCCTTTTGCTTTGGGTTGTGTATTTTCATGCAACTAGGGTACCAAAAGACTACTCATTCTATCTATCTATCACACTTTTACGTACAATGTTGTTAAAAGGAAAAAATAATAGGTTGCCTTTGCCTATGTTTGTCACTCTTTTCTCTCTCTCTCTCTCTCTCTATATATATATATATATATCTCTAGCTCAGTGCCTCCAGAATCAAGGAGAGAGCCGGAATAGTTTTTAATTCTCACTTCTCATTATTCCTTCAACTATAGATATATACTATATAGTGCTATCAGAAAGTGATCTTACTCCCTTCTGTTATCACTTGTTACCACCACATGTTTTATATTATTATCACATAATCTTTGATTTTGTGAGTTATGTAACTTGGATTCAAATCATTGTTGAATTGGGTTTTAAAATATTTTTTTGAAGATTTTTTCTGTCAAAGCATGACTGGCAATAAAGGGAAGTGAGCATAATGACAATGTTCATCCTTAATTTGTTTAAAAGTTTACATAAACTTCCTAAATAATTATACATATAATCTATAATTCATATTTGTGCAATTTTAGGGCCGGATCTAATTATTATATTGAATAAAGCGGCAATTGAAATATTGGGTTCTCACTCTTTTTCCTAACTGTTGCTATTAAACATGCAACAAACTACTTGAAAAAAGAAACCAATGGAGCAACGTAATGAATCTCTTAATTTGACCAATAAAGTAAAGCTAGGCAAAGCGAAATGAGAGCAAAACAGAGCACAAAAACAAAACAGAACAATAAAATAAATACACTAAGAACAAGTTGGATTCTGTGGGCACCAACATTCTTTGTACATGGTTACTATTTAATGACAGAAAAGGATCAGACACCCTTCAAATTACTTATTATATAATAGCTACCTTCTATATCAATGTGCTTAACTTTTCATTTACCTTAAGTCAGAAGTATTAGACGGTCCTATTGGCCTTATGTCCCTGTCAGACTGATATAATTTTGATTTTCATTTGACTATCTATAATAATGCATAGGAACTTATATCTAACACAAAATACCAGTCTCTTTTCTCTTAAACCCTTTTTCTTTCAAAATCCTGTACTTTGAAAACTTGTTCATCAATGTATGCTTGGCTGCTCACATCTTTATTGCCACATATGCTTCACTGTTTGTACCTTGGCACTGGCTGCCACACAAATGGCCCACATGTTTGTGCTCGTGTGTGCGTTTTGCCAAGTGAGCATGTTGATTATACACTTATATCTATAGATTCTATACATGTAGATTCGATTAATTTATCTTTTTATAGGATATCTCCGTATGGGAATCTGTATGCTTAATGAATAGCAGGGAGGCTGTACATATATAGATATATGCTTCTGAACCATGGAATGATTACTAACGGAAGCTGGTTCCTTTGAGTGAGCTTTGTGATTATGGGAATATATAGAGCACACCACACATCTCTCATTACTCCGTAATGCCAAAGCATAAGGCACATTTTGTCTTATCCATTCTACATGATGAATCTGACAGTAATAAATCACAAACCAAAAAGTGATTTTTGTTGGGAGAATCCAATGCTTTTTTACTGTAATTGCTTCACCATGAAGGTGCATGGATAAATAACCTACAGTAATTAATATATTACCCTTGAGAAGCTTTAGGAATTGATGCCTTGCCTATGGCACATGTTTGAGGTGGAATATCATATATGCTTAGACTCTTATTGATCTTGACAGTTGTATCAATTAACATACCGAAGTTCAGAAAATCTGAGAATTTATAAGGCTGAGGCACGCAGGCATTTATAAACTGATTTGCTCATTCTGCAGAACCTTTTTGGACCTGTCATGTATTAGCATATGGCTACAAATTAGGCTGCTAGTTTGCTTGGCACAAACAACACGTCGATAACATTACATCAATCATATATTACTAGGCTATGAGTTATATATATTGGTTAGATATAATCCTTTTCATTTAAACACATCATTCTAAGTTTTATGTTTCTTATTCTGATTCTTATCAAGCCTTGCTATGGTAAAATGTTGGCCACCCAAAAACCAAGGCTTTGAAATTGATTGTTAGATTGAATACTAATCACTAGTTGAAAATATAATTACAGCTAATCAGGACACAATTCTTTCTACTGAATCATGTAAACACAAACGTCATGTTTTTGGCAATGGCCTTATTCGTAGAAGGTTGCAAGTTCGATCCTACTACCTCCTTCAAGTATTTAGCTTACCTGGATGTAATTGTTAAAATAAAAATATCATGTTTTTCTATTTGATATGAGTTATTCTCGAGCTTTGTCAAAGTAAGATGTTGGCCGCCTACCAATTAGATGGGTAAATATGTAAGCGTCCTAGCTAGCTTGTTTATGGATTAGCATTCTGCTGAAGAGTGAGCTTGAAAAAGAGATTAGGTACGATAATAGACAAGCTGTTGGATCAGTATCTGCTAATTTTAGTAGAACCAGAGCCTATAACCAAGGTGTCGCCGTAGGTTTGTTCATCTTCTTTAAGTACATGTGAATTGTGATTAAGCTTACGTGAGTTGATTCTGTACTGTGCAGTTTTGTAGTGACATGAAGTTTCTGCATGGAATAGTTATATTATATAGCAGAGCTACGCTCTTCTCTTCTGCATAATTCAGGTCTGTTCTCAATATGCTTTTCATCGTGTCTGTAAGAAAGTAATTAAGAACATGATGATAATGCCTCTTTGAAATAGAATCCATTCTGAAATTTAACAATGATAGAAAGATTGGGAAAAGTCCAGCTGGAAGCCATGTTTTAAGCAGTGGACGTGAAATAGTGAAATATTAAACATAACTGGATTTTCCGTATCTTTTTAAGGATTTATCACAGAAAAAATATTATCTTTTTGCATCTGTAGCAAAGATGAGCGTCAGTACTCAGTAGTGAAAGAATGGTGATCACCATTGCTTTATTTTCAGAGCCTGGATTTGATATGATGGATCAAAGTATCCATCTTCACACACACAACGCTTTTAAGTTTTTGTGCAGGAATCTTTGTCATACAGTTAATTAAGATCTTAGGCATTAATTAATCTGGAGGCGGAGCATGAAGTTAATTGGCTTTGAACAGTTCAGTCCAGTTACTATTATTTTCTTTAATTCTGTTTCAGTGGGACCATTGAGTGGCGGCAAGAAAAGGAAGGAAGAAAATGTACATTATGTAGTAGGTGCGTTAAAAAGAACTAATTAATAAAGATGAATAACGATGCATGAGTAACGTTGAAGATGGCTTGTGAAAAAAAAATTATTCTCCTTCTTCTTGATCATCACGATGGGACCACTAGATTCAAGCTTATCAACAAATTTGTAGTGTGCTGATGATAATAGGATTAACTAGGCACCGTTGATTCAAAAATGATGAGTGACCATTGTGGCCAATTTTTTGGATTCCCCCATTTTTATTATATCTTCTCAGATCCTTCTCCATGGTTTTATCTAATACATTACATTAAAGTAACAATTATGCTTACTACACTCTTATTTCTAAGTTATCGATACTTGGCTTTTGATATATAATTAAACTAACCTTGGTTCCTCATACAAATACACAAGAATTAGTTTAAGTGGACTGACCTTTATTTCCCTTAATTAAATAAAGTTTCAAACTGAGTCTGGTGTGTGGAAAAGATTGTTAATATTTGTTATTAAGATATTTTGATATCTGTAAGCCTCAACCTAATTCAATTTGAATCAGTTAAAATTCAACGTAACTTTGAAAAATCTGTTAATGTTTGAAAAAAATACAAAACAGGTATAAAGTTATTTCTCAAATTTTGTGATAATTTTTTTTTTAACCTTGTTAAGATAGTCTTTTTTTAATGGAGGTCTTGAAACTTATTTCAATATCACTTGTTAGGAAATAGGGAGTGGCTGTTAAAAAATGGGGGAGAAAACAAATGAGTAAAATATACAAAGTCATGAAAGGTATCATATGTTAACTCAATTTCAAGATTTAAATTTATGGGAACTTTTGCTTCGTTATATATTAGTTATTAAATTTAAATTTATAAATTATAAGACTTTTCATTTCAACTCAAATCTATCTATATTTGGACAATTTAACAATATCAAATATAAGTGCTTTTGGATAAATATGCAATTTAAATTTTATATATTTAAAAAATAGATAATAGATTAAACACACACATATTTAAAAGGAAAAATATCAATCAAAAATTATTGAAGAAAATTTCTATTAGTCAAGAATAACTTATTATTAAAACTCAAATAAATATTTGTTGATCAGAGTTATTTTTTTATCAACAAATATCCATTTAAATTTTAATAATAATTCATTTTAAATTAACAACAGTTCATTCAAATTTATTTTCTATTCGAGTTTTGATAACAACTGATCATTGACTAATATAAATTTCTTCTAGCGACCCTTGATTGCTATTTTCCCTATTTAGAAAGAGATAAAAGGAAGCAGTTGGTCTAAATATAAAGTATGCATGTTATACCCACGGTCATATTTTTTGTTGTATTTTTTTATAATATATGAATATGAATATATAAATATATACCTTCTGTAGTCCTACGGTATAGAGAAATTGTTTTATCCTATTTATAAATTGTCTCATTAAATTTTTAATATAAACTTTTTTTTATCAATCTTGAAAAAATTATGTTATTAAAGTATTTATATTTAATAAACATAAATTTAAAAATTTATTTTTAAATAAATTTAATAAATTTTGAGATTTTTATTTATCTTAATAAAATATATTAGAAGTGATTAATAAATGTGGTTAGGAGTACGATCCAAAACCAGTACAGTATAATATGACACACTTGAATCCACGTACATGTACAGATTAATTTCAGACAAAATCGCAGAAGATCAACTGCATTGTGCAAACTAAATCCACACACACGCACCAAATCAATTGGGATCTCCCAGGAA